GAACAGCTGGAGCCTGTTCCCAGTGTGTGCATGTACAGAGTTGCCAGACAAAGGGAACAGCTAAAGAACAGGGGTTGACTTGGGAGTAAGGCCACAGGTGGATGATGAGTGGCCCCTCCCAGAGGAAATAGGGGAGTGGAGTTTGCAGGAGACAATTAGTTCGCTTAGATGGTTCGTGACTCTCCAAAACTCAGTGCATATTTCCATGCAAGTTTTCCATATATCGCCCGTGCATATTTCCATGCAAGTTTTCCATATATCGCCCTCTCAGCTCTCCGCCAGATAAGGTCTGTGACTGTAATCCTCCCTTGAAAGGCTTTGCTGGTTGTGAATGAGCAGAATTCACAGCAAATTAATTAAAGGGTCTTTTGTCGGGACAAGGAATTGCTTCATGCTCTTGGGAAGCCTCAGTCAGAACAGCTAGTACTGAAAATTCAAAGAGGCAGAAGAAAAAATGTTTGTGGGATTTCCCATTATCTTCTCTGTTTGCTCTCTGCGAAAATGCTGTGAAGCATTTTTAGCTCTTTCAAAGACATTTAGAACCAGATCCATGGGAGATCATGGGAAGGGAAGGGACGGAAATTAGAATTTTTACGTCAGCCAAAAGTAGACCACACAGTATGCAGAACATAGTTGTGCTTGGTGCAACAATTGGATTAAAATGTAAAAGTCCACACTTGTGTCATCATTTTGAGAGTTTCAAATTCAACATGAAAACATCTGTGTATCTAAATACTTCCAGATTCTGCTCATGTTTCTTCTTAGGAATGTAACCAAAGGGAGACCTCTCATAGCCTTATTCCCACCTATCTGTAAACATACCAATGGTAGCCGAAAGAACCAGATATGACACGGTTGTCCAAAAAATAGCCATGAGGGTTCCTTTAGGAATTGCCACAGCAGGATCCTGGCCAAGGGAAACAAATGATAATTTGACAACTCAGATTGATGGTTGGTCAAATATTAATCCTGATGTTAATCCCCATTTATCTGGGAGTTGATTGCTAGAGAATAGGTGTTTCAAACTTTTTGTTTCCTTTTTGGCTTTTGGATTGATTGTTGTTTAATGCTATGTGCCTTTTGATGGCTAATTTGTCTGGGCGCCAGCCAGGTACCTTTGGGTAACCATCAAGCACTTAACAGTCAAGGAACTAGCAAATCAGACAAACAATCAAACAGTAAACAACAGTCTAATCAAGGAACCACCAAGAAGAAAACAACATGCCAGTACTGACAAGGCCAGCTACTGTATATCAACAGAGATGAAACTCCACCCCTTCTAGCACTGATGACGTTACCTAGCTGGAAAAGGAAATGTCTGCAAGAAACTCAAACAGCATCAAGGATTCCATAGGTTTCAAATCCTTAGCAGGCTTAAAGCAAATAAATCTTAGTTCTCCTAAAATGAGACATCCCAAATTAATTAATGGCTCCATTCATTCCTAGGCCACTGAGCCACCACGTTCCTGCTCAGTGGCCTAGGAATGAATGGACCCATTAATTAATCAGAGATGTCTCATTTTAGGCTGAGAGTGCTGAGCTTGTCAATCAGGAAGGTCAGCAGTTCAGTGGTTCGAATCCCTAGTGCCATGTAACGGAGTGAGCTCTTGTGACTTGTCCCAGCTTCTGCCAACCTAGCAGTTTGAATTTGAAAGCACATAAAAATGCAAGTAGAAAAATAGGGGCCACCTTTGGTGGGAAGGTAACAGCGTTCCGTGCGCCTTTGGCATTTAATCATGCCAACCACATGACCACAGAGACGACTGGCTCTCTGGCTTTAAAACGGAGATGAGCACCGCCCCGCTAGAGTCGGGAACAACTAGCACATATGTGCGAGGGGGATGTTTGTAGGAGACCCCACCAGTTATGGTGGCATGGGATACTTCACATTTTCTGCCTTGAGATTTTTGCATGCAAATATTGAGATGCATAGACGACACCAGTTAATCCAAGGTGTCCCACCTGGCCAGGTGCCCCTTCTCCTCCCTGTGTCCCCAGCCAACCAGGCCTACCTTCAAATCACCTGAAATGTTGGCTCCTGCCAAGATGCCAGTGGCTGATGGGAAGAAGATGGAAAACAAACCGAAGAAGCTGCCATCAGGGCCCCGCCAGCTGGGAACAAAATTCTGAGCAAAAATGTTGGCTGAAGGAGGGAAAAAATGGAATATTCAGGTTTATAAAGTTATGCTTGAACTTACGGAAGTGCATGAAGGGAGGTGGGACAACCATATCCATGCAATCAAAGTCTTGTTTCTTGGACACATAAAATGAAGGGGCACAGCGTCCATCATTTATTTGGGATTGCCCTCTTGATTTTTTTTTACCCTTCCTACATTGTGCCTGCTTGCACTCCTTTTGAAGCGATGCTTTTTCAGCTTGACCCTTTTAAGACATGTGGACTTCAAGTCCCAGAGTTCGACCACCAGTTGCTAAGGTTGAGAAGTAAATGTGGACTTCAACTCCCAGAATCCCTCAGGCACCATGGCGGGCCATTGAATTCTGGGAGTCGAAGTCCACATGTCTCAAAGTTGCTAAGGTTGAGAAGTAAATGTGGACTCATGCCCTCGTCACCTCAAGGCTCGACTACTGTAACGCACTCTACATGGGGCTGCTCCTGAAGAGTGTTCGGAGGCTACAATTGGTCCAGAATGCAGCCGCGCAAGCGATACTGGGTGTACCTAGGTACACCCATGTTACACCTATCCTCCGTGAGCTGCACTGGCTTCCCATTGGTCTCCGGACACGCTTCAAGGTGCTGGTCATTACCTATAAAGCCCTACATGGCCTAGGACCTGGATATCTCCGTGACCACCTCCTGCAACATACCTCCCAGTGTCCAATAAGATCGCACAGGGTGGGCCTTCTCCGGGTACCGTCGGCCACACAATGCCATCTGGCGGCTCCCCGGGGGAGAGCCTTCTCTTGCAAACGATCTACCCCCTGAGATCCGGAACCCCCCCCCCCAAACTCTCCTGGCCTTCCGTAAGTCTGTTAAGACCTGGCTGTTCCGGCAGGCCTGGGGCTGTTGATCTTGACTGAGCTTCAGCCCCATTACAACTGAGTGCATGTTGTGCTTCTGTTTTTAAGTCATTTTGCCTCGTGTTTTTAATCTTTTTTAATATTTTAAATTGCTTTTATGTAAGCCGCCCGGAGTCCTTCGGGATTGGGCGGCATACAAATCTATTAAAATTACAAATTACAAAAAATTACTTCAACTCCCAGAATCCCTCAGGTAACATGGTGGCTGTTGAATTCTGGGAGTTGAAGTCCACATGTCTCAAAGTTGCTAAGGTTGAGAAGTAAATATGGATTTCAACTCCCAGAATCCCTCAGGCAACATGGCTGCTGTTGAATTTTGGGAGTCAAAGTCTGTATGTCTCAAAATTGCCAAGATTGAGAAACACTGTTTTAAAGTATCATTTATTTATTCAGCCGTCAAAATTAGCAGTTCTACATGAAAGTTTTCATAGAAGTCTGGTCCAAAATCTGGGAAAGGAGTTGCTAATTAGAACACCCAAGCCTCTCCCACCCGGTCCGCTTCTTCCCATCCCACCCCTTGCACCAAATTAAAGCATCCTGGTAGCTTTTCAGCTGCAAACTGACCTTCCTTCATCCCACCTCTCTCCCACTCACCTCGGTAGCTGAAAAATCCTTTCGCCTGCTTCTCTTCAGTAGCTGGAATCACCGTCCCCACCACGTAGTTAATGAAGGAAATCATGATCACCACAAAAAAGAGAACTTGAGCCTTGCAAAATCAAGCAAACAATACATGAAGGGCAGTTTAAAGAGTTTAGATCAGACTTCCCAGATCTGTTCTCCTCCCTACAGCCAAGTCCATCATGACCAGTTTAGATATCAGGATAATGTAGCATAAAGTGAAGGTGAATGTTCTCCTCGCACATATGTGCTAGTTGTTCCCGACTCTAGGGGGCGGTGCTCATCTCCGTTTCAAAGCCGAAGAGCCAGCACTGTCCGAAGATGTCTCCGTGGTCATGTGGCTGGCATGACTCAATGCCGAAGATGCACGGAACACTGTTACCTTTCCACCAAAGCTGGTTCCTATTTTCCTATTTGCATTTTTACATGCTTTCGAACTGCTAGTTGGCAGAAGCTGGGACAAGCAACGGAAGGTTACTCCGTTACGTGGCGCTAGGGATTCAAACACTGAACTGCCGACCTTTCTGATTAACAAGCTCAGCGTCTAAGCCACTGAGCCACCGCATTCCCTAGTATAGCATAGTATAGCCTTTATTGTCATTGTACATCATGTATACAATGAAATTGGTTTTAGTCTCACTGGTGCAATCCATGACAAAAAAATGCAAACAACATAAATAGTATAACGAATAATCCCTATGCAAGTAATTAGAAATATATATATGTGTGTGTCTATGTCTATGTCTGTCTGTCTGTCTGTCTGTCTGTCAGACAGACAGACAGACAGACAGATATATATTGTAGACAGACAGACAGACACACACACACACACCTTGGCACCCTATTCATTTCTAAACTTCCATCCTCTTCAGCCAGCATGACAAAAGAACTTTCTTATCTTGGGTTTACTTAACTCAGGATTCCACACAAGGGAAAAGAGCTGGAGGGGCAGAGAATGGTTGCTCCAATTTGGGGTGTGGCAATTTTGTTCTAAAGCTAGAATGGGTGACAGGTCAAAGTCTCCACCAACTGCTCTTTAATAACCAACCTTCTCCAATCTAGATATGATTGTGATATAATTCCCCAAATCTTTTGCCAGTTTTGGCCAACACACCTGAAGAATATCTAGCTATGAAAACCGAATCTACAAAGTATTGCCTCCTGCTGATATTTTAAAGGCTGTTTGCAAGATCTCAGTTCTGATTTCCATTCAGAGTAAGTTCTTTCTCCCCATTTAGTAGCATCAGGGGAAAGGAGAGAAGGTAGGGGATTCTAAAAGGTGTTGAACATCCATAGGTCCGTTCCCAGTTTCAGTGGAGTTGGCCTTGCTCATTCCTGACCTACAACTCAGTCACAATGGCCAAGATGGCCCACCATCTAAAGGATTATGAGATAATGCATTTACCTTGGCTTCCCACTCCATCCCAGCCAAGGATACTCCCAACAGCACCGTCACAGTGACAATCCCAATGATGCGGATGTCATTGGTAGGGTCCACCATGCTTGAGTTATATTCCTTTGGAGAGAAAAATCCAACCCTCCGTCAACTGCAAATTTTCCTGGATTGGGCCAAGGGACTCTCTACCGCCCTACAGATGGAACTCAAGATTTTTAAAAAAGCAGAAAGGTCTGATAGATTCCTAGCAAGTCCAGGTGAACAGTTGGAAAGCTTTGAATTGCTCACGACAGGAACAGATGTTTCACTTTCCATGAATCTAAGAAGGCAGAAGCTTTCTTTGAACCCTGAGAAAGAAGATTGTATGGGAAGAAGCTTAGGTTGGCCCCATCCTGACTTCATGGGGTACAAGAGGGAAGAAAAAAACAACCAGATTTTGAAGATTTTGTTACAGTAACCTATCCCAATGTTTCTCGTATCTTGACCAACCATGCAAGCCATGGGGGATTCTGGGAGTTGAAGCATGGGTGAAATGCTACCGGTTTGCACCAGTTTGCGCAAACTGGTAGGGACGATTGTCGTTGGTTCCGCAAACCGGTAGTTTAAAAAAAAAAAGCTTCCAATGATCACGCAGACCTTTTTTCCCACTTTTTAAAGAATTTTTTTCCTACTTATTCACCCGAACCAGGAGTAAAAAAAATGCTTTAAAAAGTGGGAGAAAAAAGGTTCCCACAATCGCACTGCACAGTTGAACCTCCCCCCCCCCCACTTCTTAAAGCATTTTTACCACCATTTCGGGTGAATAGATAGTAAGAAATGCTTTAAAAATTTAAAAAAAGTTGGCCACCCAGTCACTTGACCCCACCAGCACACCTACCAAGCCACGCCCAGAGAACTGGTGGCAAAAAGCTTTATATTTCACCACTGAGGTAAACATACAGGTGAACGTACATACATCATCAAGTGGCGAAGGTTGAGAAACACTATTCTATCTTAATCAAGTAGCCTTCTAGTCTTCTTGTGGAATTGGTTTCTTAACTTGGGCATCCTTGAAGGGCTGACCCTGTTTTCTTCTGAAAGATCTCTTGGACTTCCCAACCTTACCTAGTCCATAGCTTTGAGAGATCTGGGGACCTCCATTCAAATACTAACCAAGATCAGCCTTGGTTAGGTCTCAATGAAAACATGCCCCGATCAAACAAAGCAAGCATCTCCCATGCTTCCCTTCCCACCAATTGTGATCACATCATACCTGCAAGAGGTCTCGCACTGTTTCTGCAAAGCCCACGGTATGCATGGCAACAGCCACAGCATTGGCAAAAGCGAAGATGAGACCGATGGAGCCTCCCAACTCTGGCCCAAGGCTCCTTGAAATGAGGAAGTATGTCCCACCTAAGAGATGGGAGCAATGCAATCAGCACAGTCACTTTTCAAATTTATTTATTTAGTGTGTGGCATCTACAGAGGCCATGCAATCACTGACACTCAACACTAAATTAATGAATTAATGATTGTAACTATGATTTATGATGGAGTTAGCAAAGATGGCAAAAGTGGCTGTTTTAAATAACAGAATAGCAGAGTTGGAGGTCTTCTACTCCAACCCCCTGGTCAAGCAGAAGACCCTATCATTCCAGATAAATGGTGGACAACCATTTAAACATGAGCCAGCAGTCTGCAGCAGATGCCAAAAAAGCCAACACAGTTCAAGGCTGCATAAATAGAGGAATAGAATCAAGATCATGTGAAGTGGTAATACCACTTTATAAGGCCTTGGTAAGCCACACTTGGAATACGGCATTCAGTTTGGTCGCCACGATGTAGAAAATAGCAATAGCAATAGCAATAGCAGTTAGACTTATATACCGCTTCATAGGGCTTTCAGCTGTGGAGACTCTAGAAAAAGTGCAGAGAAGAGCAACAAAGATGATTAGGGGAGTGGAGCTAAAACATATGAAGAATGGTTGCAGGAACTGGGTATGTCTAGTTTAATGAAAAGAAGGACTAGGAGTCACATGATAGCAGTCTTCCAATATCTCAGGGGCTGCCACAAAGAAGAGGGAGTCAAACTATTCTCCAAGGCAGCTGAGGGTAGAACAAGAAGCAATGGGTGGAAACTAATCATGGAGCGAAGCAACTTAGAACTAAGGAAAAATTTCCTGACAGTTAGCACAATTAACCAGTGGAACATAAGTTGCCTCCAGAAGTTGTGAATGCCTCAACACTGGAAGTCTTTG